CTTAAAGACAGCAACCCCTGTATTTAGCATGAGTCCAAAAAAAAAAAAAAAAAAAACTGGCTAATTCTATATATTATTAAATTTATATTAATAACTTTAGTTAAATGTGAAGCAGTTCTTTCTTTCCAGATGAAATGTTTTATTTTTCTTTCCATGATATTTGAAGGTCTATAAAAACCAGATGGCACATTGTGTGCTACAAATAATGACTGTTCTTTGTTCTTCTAAATATAGTATGTTGAAATGAGATATTCTTATTTTTAATCTATTATCTTTGCCCTTTATTGAGATATAACTCATATGCTATATAATTCACCCACTTAAAATATATAGTTCAAGGGTTTTAGTAAATTCACAGATACGTACAACCATCACCACAGTCAATTTTAGAACATTTTCATCACCTCAAAAGAAACCCCATCCTCACTAGATGTCATTCTCTCCTATCCTCTCCAATCACCCCCATCCAGCCCTAAGTAACTACCAATGTACTTTCTACTATAGATTTACCTACTCTGAACATTTCATATAATGGGATCATATATGTGGTCTTTTGTGACTGGATTCTTTACTTAGCATAATATTTTCAAGATCCATCCATGTTATAGCATGTATCAGTACCTCATTCCTTTTTTATTGCAGTAAAAACCACATTAACATAAAATTTACCATCTTAACCATTATTAATTGTATATTCTATGGCATTAAGTACATTCACACTGCTGTGAAACAGATCTCCATAACTTTTTCATACTGGATACGTGAAACTCTACACCCATTAAACAACTCCCCTTTCCACCCTCATCCCAGCCCCTAGTAACCACCATTCTACCTTCTGTTGCTAAGAATTTGACTACTTTAGATACCTCATGTAAGTAGAATTATGCAGTATTTGTCTTTTTGTGTCTGGTTTATTTTACTTAGTAGCATAATGTCTTCAAGGTCCATCCATATTGTATCATGTGACAGTATATAAATATATACACCACATTTTGTTTATCCATTCATCCATTGATGAACATTTGGGCTGCTTCCGCCACTTGACTATTATGAATAGTGCTACAATGAACATGGGTGTGAAAATATCTCTTTGAAATGCTGCTTTCAATTCTTTTGGATACAAACCCAGAAGTAGAATTGATGGACCATATGGTATTTCTATTTTTAATTTTTTGAGAAACTTCTTATGATTTTCCGTGGTGGTTGCACTATTTTACAATCCTACCAAGAGTGTACAAGTGTTCCAACTTCTCCATATTCTCCTCAACACTTGTTATTTTCTGTTTTTTGTTTTTTGTTTTTTTTTGTAATTGCCATCCTAATGAATATGAGGTGATATCTCATTGTGGTTTTGATTTGCATTTCTCTAATGATTAATGATGTTGGTTCTCATATGTTGTTGACTATTTGTGTATCATTTTTGGAGAAACATCTGTTCAAAATTTTTGCCCATTTTTAATTGAGTTATTTGATCTTTTTGTTATTGAGTTATAAGAGTTCTTTATATATTCAGGACATTAACTGTTTATCAGATATATGATTTGCAGCTATATTCTCCCATTCCATAGATTGCCTTTTTACTCTGTTGATTTTGTCCTTTAATGCACAGAAGTTTTTTTCCCTATATAATCTTTTTTTTTTTTAGATTTTTTATTTAACTCCAGTGTAATTAACATAGAGTGTTGTATTAGTTTCAAGTGTATAGCATAGTGATTCACTCAATGCTCATCATGATAAGTGTACTCTTTAATCCCCCATCACTTTTTCACCCATCCCTCCACCCACCTCCCCTCTGGTAATCTGCAGTTTGTTCTCTATAGTTAAGAGTCTGTTTCTTGGTATGTGTCTCTCTCTGTGTTTGTTTTGTTTCTTAAATTCCACATATGAGTGAAATCATATGGTATTTGTCTTTTTCTGACTGACTTATTTCGCTTTGCCATTATGCTCTCTAGCTCCATCCATGTTGTTGAAAATGGCAAGATTTCATTCTTTTTATGGCTGAATGATATTCCATTGTGTATATACACACCACATCTTCTTTATCCATTCATCTGTCAGTAGACATAGGCTGCTTGCATAATTTGGCTATTTAAATAATGCTGCAATAAACATAGGGGTGCATGTATCCCTTTGAATTAGTGTTTTTATATTTTGGGGGTAAATGCCCAGTAGTGATGCACAAAAGTTTTTAAATTTGATGTAGCCCCATTTGTCTATGTTTGCTTTAGTTGCCTGTGCCTTCGGTGTCATACTCAAGAAGTCATTACCAAAACTGAGAAACAGACTCTTAACTATAGAGAACAAACTAGATGGCTACCAGAAGGGAGGTGGGTAGGGGGATGGGTTAAATAGGTGAAGGGGTTTAAGAAGTGCACTTGTTGCAATGAGCGTTGGTGATGTATGGAAGTATTGAATCACTATATTGTACACCTGAAACTAATGTTACACTGTATGTTAACTAACTGGAATTGAAATAAAAACTTTTAAAAAACTGAGGCCCACTTACAAAATGGGGAGAAATGTTTCATTATAAAATCAGAAATGTTTGGGAGAAATGTTTCATTATAAAATCAGAAAAAATAAAGAAAACATTTTATCTATTCATCACCGCTATAAAAAAAAATCATTACCAAATCTAACGTCATAAAGTTTTCCTGTATCTTTTCTTCTAAGAATGTTACAGTTTTAGGTTTTATGTTTAGTTCTTTAATCCATTTTGAGTTAGTTTTTATATATGGTGTAAAGTAAGGGTCCAACTTCATTCTTTTGCATGTGGATATCCAGTTTTCCCAACACCAACACCATTTGTGAAAAAACTGTCCTTTCCCCATTGAAGATCATTTGACCATATACACAAAAGTTTATTTCTGAACTTTCTATTCTGTTCCATTTGTATTAGTTAGGGTTCTCCAAAGAAACAGAACCAATAGGAATATATACATGATGAGATTTATTGTGAGGAATTGGCTCCCATGATTATGGATACTGTTCAGTCTCATGATATGCCATCTGTAAGCTGAAGACCCAGGCAAACCAGTTATTTTGTACCTGGAAGTATATACTTCTTAATATCCTTGTGCTATCTTTTATTATTAACTATTACTATTAATGAGCTATTCAAAATCCTAGCAAAGTCATTCTCTTAGGATCTAAGCTAGGGTAGAGTTTACATTTTCATGAACCACCCCAGGCCAGATTAGTTCCAGGCAAGGAGCCACCCCAGGAGGTTTATTGTGATCCTGGGCAAATACCATCAGGAACTATCTTGTAGCTTCATTTGGCAGTTAATTTTGTATAAGTGAATCCAAACTAGACTCTGGTTTCACCACTTCCCTGGACTTACGAAATAAAGGTCCATAGCTCCAGGGTAGCTCCAGAATAGCTCCAGAATAGCTACAACCTTCTAGGAATATCTGAAGCTAGAATCTGCTAAGAAGTTCTCCCTTCCAATTCAGCTGTCACCTCCCTAAAAGGAAAGAGTATCACTGTCACTGGATCAGAGTACAAAACTAAAAATCTCTCGATACTTACTTCTAGGTCCTGGGATCTGGAAATCAGAGGCCTTGGGTGGCAAGAAGGACAAAGCCAAAAACAAAAAACTAAACAAACAGACAAAAAGACTCCCATCTAGTTCTGGAAACAATTATATGAACATCTTATGTAAATCAAGTCCTGTATTATAGTCTTTGGAGACAAGCTTGATTTTTTTTCCTTCCCCTCTTCTTCCTTCTCCATCTCCTATTTGTTATTATTTTGCCTCTTTGAAATAATAATAATAAAGACAGATTCTGACTAGAAGATTTAAGGAATTGGTCATGACTCTTGAAACTTTATTCTTTTCGGCACTAGTTCAAATTCCTAAGCTCTAGCTGAAAATGATTTTTATCCAGAGTAGTTTGAATAGTCATTTCACAAGACAGGTTACTGGCCCTCTGCTTATTTGTAATCACAAATTTTTTTAGGTTAATAAAGCCAAAATCAAAGGCTAAAATTCCTAAGAAAAAAAAAACTTCCTTTATATAAAAATGACATTTGATCATTATAAAAAACTTGGGGGGTGCCTGGGTGGCTCAGTCGGTTAAGCGGCTACCTTCAGCTCCAGTCATGATCCCAGGGTTCTGGGATCAAGCCCCGCATCAGGCTCCCTGCTCAGCGGGGAGCCTGTTTCTCCCTCCCTCTGCCTGCTGCTCTGCCTACTTGTGCTCTCTCTCTCTGTCAAATAAATAAATAAAATATTAAAAAAAAAAACTTGGAAAATTTCAGAAAAGTATAGCAAAGGGAAATCATTACATAATTCTAATATACTAAAATAACAAATGCTTTATATTTTCATGTATGCCCTTCTCATCTTTTTCTGTTGACATGTACACATCTATCTTAACATAGTAAAGATTATACACTACATGTGCAATTCCGTATGTTTTTTAAATATGTGTCATAAGAATTTTCCTGGTCAATGAATATTCTTCATAAATATTACTTTAACCTGCATAATATTTTATCATAAGGATAGATCATTGTCTACTTAAATTTCTATATTATTGATCTTTTTATTTTACTTTTCTCACTAATGTAAACAACTAAAATAAACATGTGCATAAAGATTTATCTATTTTCTTAGGATAGATTTCTAGAAGTGAAATTACCAGATCAACAAATATGAAAATGTTCAAGAATTGGCTTTTTAAAGGAAGTCTTCTTTGGGTTGTTAAAGGATTAATGACACAACAAATTGAACACATGTTTGATGACTGTGTAGCTGCTCATATTCAAATAATCTCTGCAAGCATAACTATTAATTGACTGAATCTAATCTTTCATTTCAGACACAAGGATACATCTCTTCCTTCTGTCTTCAACTCCTTGGGATAGAAATCAGGAGGTCTGACTGAGCCCATGTATAAGCTTTGTCAGACAGGCACTTATCCACCTTGTTTATGACTGCCTGTTTAACCCATTGCTCTCAAAATCAATATTTTTCTTATTTTCTCTTTTTTCAGATGGAATGGGGAGAGTCCTTGCTCAAGATGTATATGCAAAAGACAACCTACCCCCCTTTCCAGCATCAGTAAAAGATGGCTATGCTGTCCGAGGTAAATATATTGTGACTTTGAGTATCATCGTACTCACACTGTATTTTTTTTTTTTTCAGATATTTTGCTCAGCCTAGGCACCCAATGAGTTTTACACTTTTTTCCTGCCTGGTTATCAAAATAATTTTATTCATAGATAACAATCTGGATTAAAACTTTTCAGTGAAAGTACTGTCATTACTTGAAAATGTTTGTTGACAAATGTGTAGAAATTGATAGAAACACTGTACCATAATTTATTCTTTTGACCTCTCTACATACCAGGTAGCAGACAGTCTTGGTCTGGAAGTTTTCCATGTTTTCTAGTTGAAAACATTTATGTGGTCCAAAAAAGAAGAGCAGATTCCCAACACAGGAATCATGTAGGGTGGGCTTTTCTTCTGTTTTAAACTCAAACATCAATAAGGGCTTCATAAAAAGCAAGCACAGGGAAACCCTCTAATTCCCTGGAAGAGCTGTATTTCAAAGCTCTGAAACCTCCTATGGTACCAGCAGCTCATACCTGTGGAGTTCCCTGAGATTGCATAAAGGTTAAAAGCATATACTAAATAGCAATTGCCTGCTTAAAGTCTAATCTAAGAACCCAAAATGAAATGCAATGGAATTACTTAGAAACTATTATTGGTTATTAACTCAAGGCTGATACCATTGAAGAAATGTCTAAAAACATTTCCCAGCTTATCAGAGCTGTTAAGAAGGCCAGTTCCTTTTTAATGGTTCTTTAGGGAGTCTCTAACTTGTTTGTTGTTGTTTTTACTCTATCTAGCCATTGAAATAATTTCATTTTTATAATTAAATATATTCATTCATCTCCTCCATGTCCCATCACGATTTCTTAGTGGTATCTTTTTGTGTTGGAGGCACTATAGCAAATGGTTATGGTTATGGGCTTTGAAAAGCGAAGTAAGGGTGATCTGGATCCCAGTACTAGTTACACCTTTATAACTTTGAGCAAATTACTTAAACTTTTTGAGCTTCAGTTGTCTCATCTGTAAAATGATGATAATTATAACAATACTTATCCCAACAAGTTGTGAGGATTGAATGAGACCCTAGAAAGCCTTAGTAAATTATCTGGCACCAAAAATAAGCACTCAGTAATTGTCTTATAAAATGTTTGATAATGGTAACTATTATTATCACTATCATTATGATAAGCACATTTCCATAGATCATTTCTGAAAAAAAAGGTTAACATTTATTTGAATTGTTACTCTCCTATTCTATGTAAATAAAGTGGTAGAAAGATTAATTTCTACTAGTGTATTCTTTCTTGGGGATACTATTTTGGATGTATCTCATTCAGCTTGATCTCACTAAATTAGAGTATTTCTGAAAACATGAATAACAAATCCCCAGTAGCTCTTATGATTTTTTTCTTCCAAACTTATTCCTTCTACAGTGCTTATTATAATGAATATTGTCCAGAAAGAAAATTATTTCAATCTTCTGATAGCTTCATTGGCTCTTCTTGTTTTTTGTTCTCCAACTAAAATTTCAGTTCTGGCACCTGGGTGGCTCAGTCGCTAAGCGTCTGCCTTCGGCTCAGGTCATGATCCCAGGGTCCTGGGATCGAGCCCCGCATCGGGCTCCCTGCTCAGCAGGAAGCCTGCTTCTCCCTCTCCCACGTCCCCTGCTTGTGTTCCCTCTCTCACTTTGTCTCTCTCTGTCAAATAAATAAATAAAATCTTTAAAAATAAATAAATTAACTAATTAAATAAAATTTCAGTTGTTTTGAATTTATAATTGGTAGCCATATAGGATTACTATAAAATGAAAAAGAAGTCTTACTTCCAGAGTAGAATAGACAACTTTAGCAAATGAAATACCAAAGGGATAAAAAAGTCTATTTTTTACATTCTTGGTAATATAAAGAAGGAGAAAGGGAGAAAATAAATTATTTGAGACAATTATTCTCAAACAGAATGTTGTTCTGTGATTTTTGCATGAAATAGCAGCAGCTCAATAAAAAGAAACTATTGCTCTTAGCTTTTCTAGTTGCCAAAAAGAGTGATTAGCCTACATGAGCCCTAGAAGAGCCTTTCTGCTACCATAGAATCTACCAAAGAAATTTTATATAAAATTACCATCTGATATCTTATTTATTCTTTTGTTTTGAAATGGTGGTGTTTTTAGCTATTTCACACACACACACAAATAAAAAACATCTAACATCTCACAATATAAAACGTTCCAACAGACTATTACACAGCTTGTTCACATTATTTCTTTCCTGTGAAGTGTTGCTATCTCCAAGATACAGAATATATAACAGAGACATAATACATAACAGATAACCATTATGGATATGGTTAAATCTCAAAAGTGGGAATGTTTGCTGTGTCTGTGTATATATACCAACATCATAATTAAGGCAGCAGAAGCCATCGATGAACAAAGAGGCGTGGTCCCAGTCTTTTCTGTGTTAGACACTGCCCACAGGCAGTGTTTGGTAAAGAACATCCTTGAAGCTGTTGTGGCTCTCTACTTCGTGTACCTTCTCTCCACCCTTGTCTTCCTTTACTCCCATTCCTTTCTCCCCACTCCCTTTATTTTCCCTTTTTTCTTCTCCTCTGCCTTTGCCGTAGGCCTTCCAGTAATAACCAGTGGCACCTGTGAGCATTGCTAACCCTGTAGGTGTAAAGAGGTTGCTAACTTGCTCTGGATCACTAAGCATTAGCCAGTATCCTTCAGAAACATGTGGCATAACACTCCAAACCAGTTGGAGGATCACTTGCTTTAAGGTATGTGGGTTGAAAAATCAAGACAGTAAAAAATGACTGAGCAAATAAGAAATAAGAACGGCTTTAAAAAAAGAAAGAAAGAAAAAATAGAGTTTAAAGAGTTTAAAGAAGGCAGGAATCAAGTAATCATGATATAATAGGAAGACCTGTAACCTAATAAACCTAAAACTGCATTCAGGATGGAATGAACTTTTTTTTTTTGTAAAAGAGAAAGGGAAAGATTTATTTTGGGTGCTGACAGAGGGAGAAGGTGACAGGCTCAAGTCTTAACAATTGACCTCTCCCAAGGATGGAATGAATTTGAAAGATAAAATGAAAGTAGCATGTTATCACTTAATTAAGATCAATACAATACTTTTATTAATATTTTTGAAGAGTTATTTCTCCCTTCACACTGATTAAGCTCATCATCTCGATGCATTTCCACCTTCCCCTAGAGATATGGATGCCTATTATCTCACAGTTTTTTTGTAGATGTTAATAAAGGCAAAAGTACCTCACATCCCAAATTCAGCTTTCTTAAAACTTTTCAATTCAAAAGGCATATTATCCCTTCCAGAACTTGTTTTACAGAGATGATTTAGAAAGAGGGAAAAGTCTGAACAAGCCACTAATTATTTTGAGAACCACGTGTAACAAACAATTCTGGAAGGATATAAGACAAATCTTTGCCACTGGGGTAAAGTAAATTTTAAATTTTTCTTTTTTACGTTCTGAATGAAATACATACTTATGAAAAATACAGAAAATTAAAAAGAACATTTTAAAATTACCCATTATCTCACTGCCTAGCCACTATTAACATTTTGTGTACTTCCTCCCAGTTGGTTAAAGTGCATACTAAAATTCAGTATCACCTCTTTGATTTAGAGCTTTTGTTCTTTTACAAAAGCCATGTTCTGGGTTTCTATTTCTTCCACCTAAATCCCTGGCCACAGCTGGTTTTCCATTTGATAACCTGTTGCCTTTCACTATAAGTCACTCTGGATAAAGAAGAGGGCCTTATGATGTGGGAATATTACTCAAGTGAACAGAGATATTTGAATTAATTAATTTTGGTCAATTCCAAAAAACTTAAAATACTGTATTTAAGGAAATAGTATCTCTTTTCCCAATACTAACAATAAATGGGCATTTTTTTCCTGGAAGATGATGGTAAAAAATTCAAAATGCTTGCTCACTCACCTGTCCTACTCTTAACTTCCTGCTTTCCATAAGAAAAAGCCACAGATTTAAAATTCCAAACAACTCACCTGATTTAATTCCTCAGTATAATTGCAGCAAGTATTAATCCTGCTGTGCTAGTCTTATCACCTTCCCTTGCCCCACCCAACACTTTCTATAATCTTAATTTCAGTATACACATAAATACTACTACCCTGTTGCCTATTATCAAGTCTTAGACAGTTTGGTTCCATAATTAATTCTTAATCCCTCTGTCTGATTATTCTGTCAAAGATATTTCCTAGGACCTCTGAAAGTTATGCCATCTCTATAGTCTCAGTTTATTCAATCCTACCATGGAAATGTCAAAACTCTTTATTATTGAAAATACATATAGCTAAAAAGTGTCTCAAGAGGCATAAAAGGAGTTCCCATATGGCTGGAAAATGAAAATGAAAGATAGTTCTATGGTAAAGGGCTCAAGGAAGATCATTGCCACAATAAATAGTTATCTAATGGTATTCATTTAAAAATGATATGATCTTTAAATAAACAGGTGAAGAAGACTAAAGTGTTTTCTGGACATTAAAAAAAGAAGGTAGAAGTGGGAGCAACTTCAGGGTCTAGCATTGAGCATTATGAATCAGTTATATAATGCATTTGCTGCATTATATAATTTGGTTTATATTGGTTTTTATCACTTCCTTCAAATTAAATTCTACAATTACAAAAAAGAAAAGAAAACTCATTAAGAGAAATTTCTAAATGTGGGGAGAGGGGGTTCTAAGCCTCTACAGTAATCCTTGGAATCCATCCATCTTTTCTAATGGCATACTGTGGCTTACTTAGTTTCTTTCTTTCCAAGCTTTAGATTCATGTGCAAACATACCTCCACTTCTGCTCCTTCCCACCCAAGCTTGTAGAATTCATCTTAAAAATGGCAACTTTTCTTTTACCTGTCTCTTTAATAGATATTTTAAAATAAATATCAGCAAGTTAGATAGATCATTATTTTTCTGTCTTTTTAAGAAATAGTGAGCCTTGTGATAATGTAAAATCAGGATTTCTGTTGTAGTTCACTAATTTTTTACT